TTGCTGAAGCATACTGGACAAGCTTTAGAGCTTGTTATTTTTGCAAGAAGTACAGTGGAGGAAACACTGGATGTACATTTCAGTAAAAAACATAACCAGAACCAAGGCAAATGTAAGGCAAAGGTTTTGCAGTTTCAACATCAAAAATAACACCATACAAAGCTCCTGTGATTACAGAGAAATATCTCCCCCTGTGAATATTTCCCATTTTTATTCATCTTGGTTCCTGCCCCAGAAAATTTAAAGCAAAATTACAGGCCTCTGTGCAGAGATCCCATTCTCACAACATTTCTAGGCCCCATTTCACTGAACCAACAGATCTGGATCATTGGGATGACTCTGACATGCTCTAGAATTTTAGTTGCTTAGTGGCATCCAGAGCCTTTGGGGATTTGCTCAGCCTTAGTGAGAAAAGCGGTGCCAGCCTTATCAGCTGGTGTGCACTATTCCTCTTGGCTCCCAGCTGGATCTGGAAGGCATCATTCACCCCCTGCTCCTGCTGGAGCAGACATGGCACAGCCAGGCAGAGGCACCAGGGCACTACTCCCAGCAGCTGGCTCTGCCTCCTTGCCAGCTTCCATGTGGACACAAATGCATAAAGACCCTCCACTGGTGGAGACCTGGCTGCAGAGCCCACGGGGCTTGATGGTTTACCTGGGGTAAACCACATGGGACCCTACAGGCCACCAGGTATTTTTCAAAAAGATCCTGGAGTCCAAAATAACATGACCCCATAGCCTGCCTATGCTTTTGTCATTTTTTTTTTCCCCAGTTCCTTACTGTAACAATGTTGTGTGAGATTGGATAATAGCACCAGGCATTTGTCCCCATATTTAGCTGGAGTGAATGCATTATGTAAGGGAAAAGAACATAGAACTGTACTTGTTGACTTTTGTACTCTCTAAACACTTTTAAATTTAAACAGAAGCATTAACACTCTCCCTCCACCCCATTCTAGGAAACAAAAAAAAAAACAAAACAGAAAAACCAAAACCAAATCCACCCAACCAAACAAATCATAAATACCAAGAGGATTACTTCATCTGTGGTATTATTACTCACTCTCTGGTTTCCACCATGTGGTAGCTCAGGCTGCAGAAATGTTCTCTGTTAATAGCAATACAGTTACTTTAGTGATCTTCAAATTCTTCCTTAAAAACTCCATTCAGCCTATTACCAAAAAAAGACACAAATATTTAGAGAGATAGCATGCTTAAGACTGCAGGCTTTGCGGCCTTCTCTTGTCCCAGCAGAGCTGAGCACATTTTCTTGTCCCCTTGCCCTCTTCATGTGCTGGCAGACAGCCATCGGCTCTTTGGGGCTCAGAGTTTCATGGTCAGTGCCCAGCACAAGCTGCTCCCTGTCCATAAACAGGACACGAGTGCTGCCTTAATATGAAGAGTGACAGGAAAGGTTTGGTGAACCAAGTGTGGGATCCTTGTCCCTTCCAGCGCACACTCATGACAGTGACACCAGTGAGTCTTCCTGAACCAGGGAAGGAGTTGGACCCATGTTTTCCACCGTTGGCATCACATACAGCTTCCCACAGCTGCCAACTCTGCAGCTGCCACAGGCTGCTTTAAATATCAAAGCCTGAAGAAGCTGAACTCCTTTGCATTGCTACTTAAACCACCTCTGGGATTGCTCAGATCTGGTGAAGCAGCATTCTACTGTTTTATGCAGTGGAAGTCCTAGACCCAAGCAAAAGATCATTAATTGAGAAAACTAGATTTCTGTTAATGTGCTGCATGAGTTCTCAAGGTACCTCTTTACTTAGAGATGAGGAGTATCCCTTTCTTCTGAAAAGCCAGATAGATGTGTGCATGTGCTGGGAGTGATCAGGGATTGCAGCCAGATTGCCTGCCCTACTGGCTGGTTTTAGGCATATATAGTTAGAGTTTTACTCTGATTCACACAAAAAGAACCCTATCTCTCTCTCACCTGATTGCTGATAATATTTTTTTTAAAAAAGAAATAGACTCTTATCTTTCCACATGCAAACTGGTGTCTCCAGAAGTGTCCATGCAAAGATTGGTGCTACCTAGCAGCAGCTGCAGAAATGATCAATGAAGATGTATCTCCACTTTGTCTATCTGTAGCTGCATTAGAATGTGTTGGTTATTAATAAAATGTAGTGCCCTCATCAGGGGGTTTAATACCATTTAAAATTTTACCCAGATAATCCACATCAGGATTAGTGACACTGTGAATTAAGGATTTGGCAGCAATAAATATGGGTTACCTCACAAAGGACCATTATGACAGAGTGATCCCTAAACCTGCACCTCTGCCACATATGCATTAAAAATGTCCTGCTGACAATGTTGTGCAAAGGAGCCAATTCTTTCACACTGAAAAAAAAGTTCCAGCCTTAATATATTCTTATAGGAACTGTTGTAGGATATTGAGGCTATGAAATCCATCAAGGGTTTTTCTTAACCTGCAGCTATTCACTGTGAGGAAATGCATGGCATGCTCTGCTGGGTGTGGATTGGGAAAAGCCCTTTTAGGGACATTCTTCAAGGAAGTGAGCCAGGTAAGTAGAAGTTTACTGCCTTATTCCGACTTAGTCAATCCTGGAGACAATGTTGTATTTTAGGAACATGCCACTAGCACTATGTTGTGAATTTTGGAAGAAAGGATTGTCTGTCTTTACCTCCTTTGTCCCAGAAGGTTAAATATAATTTACTCTTTCTTCACCAATTCTTCATCTGCTGAGAGGCTGTTCTGTGGGCTTCTGATATCTCCTGCAAAGAGGTAACACACCAACATGTTTGCACAGTAGCAATGTGCATGGGAGCTTGCTTCAAAATTAGGCATTCTGGAGGACACAAAGTGGGGTGGACACAAAGTGGGGTGGGCACAATATCTCCTATGACTCCCTGTGCAACAGCTTGGAAGTGACCATTCCCTACATTGAAGTGAGGCATTATTTTATTTTTGATACCTTAAAACCTGTACAAAGTGCAAGTTTTAGGCAGAATATGCTGAAACTGAAAAAAGCAGACACATTTAAATTTTGCTCTGGCTAGTTCAGCTAATCCCTGCAAAACAAGCGTACTGCCAACATTAATTTTTCATCCAGCTAACTCATATTGAATATATCATCACTAGTTACTTAAAATTGAATCTATTTTTAATAGAAAAGTTGATACTGGAATATGAAACATGAAGTAACACATCATTGTTCTGCAAATGACTAAGCTTTTAAAGATAGCGTTGTAGACTGGAAACAGACTGAAAAAGGTAAAAGGTTATTTCCAACATTAAAAGTAATCTTCATGTTCACCAAAGCCTAGATCATCTCAAAGCAGTAATTATTCACTGACTGTAGATAGCATTATTTTGATATTTGCTCTATGTTTATTATTCACCACAGCAGATTATCACAGGATTACTGCAACATATTTTTCCTTTCAGTAAAATCTTATTTTCAGGTAATCTGGACTTTTTTTTTCCCCCCTTCACAAAATCTGTTTTTATCAGCCTCCAAGCCTGACGAATAGCCAGTTACTTCAGCTTCCATATGATTATGCCCTCTTGCATATCTAAAACTCCTTTTTTTTTTTCTGTAGTGCAAAGCATATTTTAAAATTCATAGCCACCAAATGTGAGTGCATGACAGCAAGAATGGCTGCTTCTCTTTCATACTACACAGCGAACAGCCAGACTTTAAAGGCTTCATAATTAGGGACTTTACCAGATTGTAACAGAAGATGTATTTGCCTATTTTTGCTGTAAAGTCAATTATAAATATGCAAAATTCAATGTGTGAGTGACCAGGCCACACTTAGCAGACATAATAAGACTGCAGCCAATTAAAACAGAAAAAGGTTGAGTTCTCAGTTTTCTGCCCTGTGTGTTTCTGATGATGACACAACAACAGCTGTGAACTCCCAAAGTCATCCCAGAGAGGTGGGTCAGTCTAGCCCTGCCAAAATGAAGGATTTGCCCTAAAAGCCAGATGTTCTTGCCACAATTTTCCACATGGAACTGACAAAATGGTTGCTCAGCATACGTGAATCCTTATACCACCCAATCATTTCTTTACAAGAATATCAAATCCCTTGAAGATGCAGCATAAACAGAGAGGAGGACAAACAACTTTACAGCATTAATATCCTGAAATTTGTGTTTTTAATCTTTCTAACATGACTATCTGGGTATATTATTGTTAATGGAACACTTGAGAACTGTAATTGAAACAGTATATAAGTACTTTTTAAATTCTTCTTCTCATAATATAATCATTACGTGAGAAACACTAAATTAGACATTTGACTTTATTGATCTTTTCATGGACTGACAGTACAGGGAGTCATTTTCTGCCTAGGCTAATTAATTGATAGACTAATTCATTGATCAGGTTCTCCATAGCATAGTTGGTATTGACAAACACTGAATCTTTTTCCATCAGTTGTATTAGTTTGCACCAATTACTTTGTCTGTTTCACTTAAGCAATTACGATAGCTCAAAAGCAACAATCAGATTCTCAGCTGGTGTAAATCCGGCTCTCTCTCCTGAAGCCAGAGAGCTGTGCAGTTTCACTGAGTGGGTTTTTTTTGGCTTTTAAGATTTAACAGTGAGCTTTAAAGCACCCAAAACAACAAGGATATCTGAGGCAAAACCCCATCATGTTAGCTGGAACATGTTCATCATAGCAATGAATAGTAAACATGTTAAAGGCTTGTGTGCAGATGCATGACTTTGCTCAAAATTTATACATAGCCTTAGAATGCTATCAGGTGCAGAGTAAGGTACCTGGAGACACAAATAAGCATTTGGAGTAATATGAAAGTTAGATGCTCAATAAACTCACATTTTCCATACCTAGGTTATCTGTAATCCAGGTCCTAAGAATATCTTGCTTCAAAGCAGCCACTGCCTTCCAAGTACATGGAACATAGCCATTTCATTATATATGAAATCTCAGTTTAGACATCTGTGATTTTTAAAAAATATTCAACCTGCTCAAGGATTTTAGGAGAATGTAGTGGTTTCTGCAGGGCATTCTCACTTCTGGATCAGTGCTGAAAGAATGGATTCTGCTGCTTCATCTTGAGCAGAGCCAACAAAGACTGGATCACCAACATACTGCCAACATACTGAAAGGAAAAGGACCATATAGGAATTTAGTAACTTCTGTAAATTTTCAAAATAAAGACTAAGTAAAAATAAATAAATTGAACTGATGGTCCTCTGCATAGATTTTCCTTAACAATTATTTTTCAGGTAACCCGGGGAGTCACCAGAGTACATGGCTGTTACACAAGAAGGAGACGCTGTGGTGATTTTTCAGCTAATGATGAAGAAATTTGTTTCCTTTTAGAAACAGGCCATCTCTGTCAATTTGGCCAATGTTGAAAAATGTGAGTCAGTGTAAACTTTCCATTAATCTCTGGTCTGCTTCTCCTACGGTATTATGGAAAAAATGGGCCCATGCAGGAAGTAGTCTTTGTGCTTTGAATCTACCTCCCAGCTCTGAATAATTCAGAATACATTGAATACAGACAGTAACTGTTAGTCCCTTCTTTTAAAGTCTCCAATCACTTTTTCTCATCTTTGCATGCAAAAATAGAAAATTATATACTCTCCAGAGACACCAGCAATAGCAAGAAGTCATCATCAAAACCAAGAAAATTTTGCTGAGGCAGTTTCCACACACTGCTCTAAACCCAATTACTTCCTGTGCTTGACATGCTCATGGAGGCTTCCACTTTGATGCAGGGAATAGGGTAAAATAAAGTGCACATTACTCATTAAAATGAGTGGTTTTTTCCTGCCATGATTAAAAAGAAACGCCTATGTGTGCCCTGTCAACGATATTTCCATTTGCCTCAAACCCATGTAGGTGCCAACATGCAGGTCATATTTGTAATTGCTTAACAAAGGGTGACCAGAGTACCACATCACAGTGAATGAACTGCACAGGGAAAAGGGGCATGTGCAGGCAGGAGCTGATCTGGAGAACAGCCATGGCAGGGTATGATCCTCCTAAAAGAATGCCTTGTGCCCTCCATGCAGCCACAGGGAGCGATTTGCAACACAATTCAATGACATGTAATTAAAATCGATAGAAAATTGACATTACAACCCCAAAACGAATTAAAGCACAAATTTAATCTCTGTTTCCTATTCTGGCTTTAGAAATGGAAGATTTGCAATGAAAATATACCATAAATAGGCTGATATGTATATATATACTGGGTATGTCTTAAGCAATCTATCTTTATGTTTAACAATTATGAAAAAACTGTTCTACCATCTTCTTTGCTGATTTTCAGTATAGAGTAATCTGGCCTGACTCTCATCACATGTCAGTTTTCAACAGATACCTTTACCATAGTGGGATTTTTTTATGATTGTCCTAACACTTGAATGACAGCATAATTTCATGCAAGATCAGAACTCTGCAATTTTCCATTTTAAATGTTCTGGTTTTCATAAAGAGTTGTAGAATATGCAAAAGCAGAATAAATCTAGCTATTCTCAAATTTTTCCCTTTTTGATATGCTATTTTCTGTAGTAGTTATATATGCTGCAGGGCAAAAAAATTATTTGAAATGTTATTAAACTAAATTTTTCTTACCTAAATTCTTGTTGTTGTGCCTCTGAATTCAATATTGTCAAACCTCTAAAACTGCAGAGCATCCAGGGAAAAGCCATGCTAATGGTGGTGATTTTTCCTGCTGGAAACATCCTCAGCTCACAACTTCATTTGACCCAGATGCACACTGTTTTTGTTTACATGTGAGATCAGGGGCCTTCCATTTATTAGCCAGTTTATTTTACCCAGTTTATTTTTTGCAGAATTGGGAATCTAGAACATTGAGGCTGATATGGCCTTTAGTTACCAGTGACTGGGTTCTCCAGTGACTCATGTGGTCAGGACAGATACACTGACCTTGGCATTGTCAGCATCAACAGAACTGATCTCCAGCTCCCTGAATTCTTCCAGACCAATGTTCTACTGCTGTTTGTCCTGGGTGAAGTCTCGCAGAGCTTCCAGCATTCTCAAACTGGTCTGTCTCACCTTGAGAACTACTGAAAATGATACTTTCACAGATAGATAGTAAAGTCTGCTTTATGTCAGATACAGCATTTTTTGCAAGTGTGGCATTATTACAAATAAGCTTGTCTGTGCATTTTGAGTCCATCAACTGTGGTATTTCAGACACTACTTAATTTAATTTTTCTTTTAATTAAACAAAACCAGAACTGGTTTTTTTTGACAAATCATGACAACTGATGGGGTTCTGAGTAACTTGATCTAGTGGGGCAGGGGGTCTGGGATTAATTGATCTTTAAGGTCCCTTCCAACCTAAGTCATGCTATGGCTTAATATCTGCAAAAAAGATTGTTATTTCCCACTCCAAACACAATGGGCAGACTCTTCTGTATTGTTCATGCTATGATCTCTTAGCTCGTTTGAAACATCTGCTCTTGGCCCAGGTCAGAGTTAAGGCACGGGTGATGTATGGTGATTGTCTCTGTATCTCTAAGATGTCACCTCCTGGCATGGACAGAAATGGCATCCACCTGTGGCACCACACTTGCAAACCCCTGGTCATGGAAACTGATCCTTGACAGTACCTGGATTACCCTACAGCAGGTATTTGGGTATACAGGATTGTGCTGCTGCTGCCACGCAAGAAACAACTCCACTCTGCTGTGTTGGAGATAGCCTGGGGGGCAGAAGACAGCTCTGCTCCTTTGCCCTCCACCACCCTCTGGGGCAGGGCTGGGCTGCCACCTTGCCCCAAGCCCTGTTCTTGGGGTGACAACACTCAGGTTAGCCAGCCCTGCTGAGCAGCTTTCAGCCACTCTTGGCAGACACACACGGTGTCTGCAACTCGGCATTTAGCCCATGGCTGTGAAGTGCAATAGTCTAAGATTTACAAAGTGTCCTACAAAGGACTGGGTGACTTAGTATCTAGTTATTATCTTAGTATCTAGTTATTCTGCCATGTCTTTGTTCAAAATCTCTACAGAATGAGCTAATTTTCATTCACAGCAGGAATGAAACTCCTTCCCCTTACCCCAAGGAAATCTTAGGGTCCAGCTTCATTTCATGCTCCTCAGTTACAATCATGGGCAACAGAAACTGGCTTCCCCCCTTTTTTCTTCTTCTCTGCATAATTTCAAAATACTAAATTTTCCTACAAACCAATAAATTACCTATAGAATCTGACATGAAACCAAACTAGTTAATTTCCAATTCCTGATTATAAAGGTTTACTACCAGTTGTTTCAGCAGAAATCACAGGCCACCAAAACCCCCAAATGTTTATTTAAATGAATTATATCTCAACATATTACAGTCCTCATGTTTCAAAACTATGCTCAGAAGCTGCCAGAAAAGCAACATGATTTAAATGTTTTATTTACTATTGCAGTTTTCACCAGGAAAGTTCATTCTGTCTTCAGAGTGACAGTAAGAAACAATTACTGAAAAAGGCACACAGTTCTCTAATTTAGTTTTCAATAGTTGATGAATGAAATGGGAAGTGTTGACCACACTAGGTCACAGAAAAGTCATTTTGTAGGACTTCTGTTCCCCTCTGACAAGTAATGCAGCAAACAAGAATGGTTCTACACAATGTCTGTTCATGCAAAACTTGGTTTCTTATTATCATTGAACACAGCAGAAATCTGCCTCCTCAGTCTGAGCAACTGTTTCTCAATCAATAATTAAGTAACTTTAAGGTCTAGATCTATACAAGGATATTGATATTTTCACTGAAAATGAATCAATATGAACAGGGTAAAGCATCTGAGTAAGCCTTTTTAATGGCTGTGTTTTGGCTGTGAGAAGTAAATTAATTGATTAAAAGAATGACAAATATTGGACAACCAAAGTAAATCTTTTCACACTTCCACTAACCTTTTAAGTAACTCATTTAAATTCTTTTCTTTGTTTCCATCTTTTTTCCAACTTTGTGTTGTTTTAATAGAATTTACAGGCCTTCCTGTGAGTATGTAATGCTAGTTATGTCTTAATTTTACATTAATAAGTAAAGGTCAGATAAATTGTAGGAAAGGAGAAGACCAAGCTGAGACTTATGGAATGAAGGGCATTTTGTGGCTGATAGACTCTAAGGGATCCTGCTGAAAAGTGAGAGAAAGGAGATCTACTGGAAGAATGTAATGGAAATATCTAGAGATATCTTGCACAAGGTCTGTTCCCACCCTATGCCTGCATCTATAGGGCAAGTGTGAGACCCTTCTGCCCACTTCCTAACAGAACCTCAGCCTCCAGCTGCAATGCTGAATTTGGAAGGTGTGTTGAGTGCAGCTTAGGTCCCCTTGCATTTTGACTTTCCTAAATCTATTTATGCTCACTCAGTAATATATGACACTGTGCTTAAGGGCAAGACCCTGTGCTGCACCTTTGCTCTGCCACCTGGGCAGTCCCCATCTCTTTTTGCCTGCTGCTGAAGGCCAATGCACATTTGCACATCTCCACACTGCCAGGTGGCTGGAAGCACAGGGATCACTCCTTCCTGTGCTCCACAGCTGGGCCAAGCAGCTGAAGTTGCTGGGGCAGCCAAAAGCACAGAGGCAGATTGCTGAGTACTTGCAACAGCAGTAGTTACCACAGTAGAAATTGTACTGGTGATATGTCTTGGTGTCTTGGTATGAGCAAAGTGCAGAGCTGCTCCAAGCACATCAGCTCAGCTCAGCAGGCCGTTCATGCTGCAAGGAGCCCTTCTGATGTGCTCTGCTCTGGTGGGACAGCCCTGGCATCCCTGCTGAGCCCTAAGGGCAGCCTGAGCCCAGCCTGAGCTCAGAGTTTTAACGTCCCATGTCCTCTCTGAAGCAGGGAACAACTACACCCTCTTGGGGACCATCTCGGGCCTCTTTCATGTTTGACCCTGGCACTGCAATGGCAGCTGAAATGCTGGATGGAGGCACAGGAAAATGTGCTGGATGGTGCTCCAAGAGGAGGTTTGCTTCTAAGCAGGGAGATCTGTGACATGGTATAAAACGAGGGTGAAGGGCAGCTGGATCCCCTTGCTGTCACGAATCAGCAAAAAAGAATGAGTAGGACTAGATGTAAAAAACACTTTCAGGGCATGAAATAAAAAGTATTGCCCTGGATTCTATCTATATGCTCATAGACTTGCCTCCATGGGAGTTTGCTGATCATCTGTTATGGCCTTCTAAGCTATATGCAGTTCTTTCTCACCACCTGTCATCCTGTGTATGAACAGTATCAGTGATGACAAATGAATTATCTCGTCATTTTCCCTGGGATTTTTTTTTAATGGAGAACAGAAAATAGCATAGTATGAATAAAGAAAACAATTTTTGTAGTTACTGTAAAATTCATTAAAACAATGCTTTTTTCACTGTACTTCAAACATGGTTCTCAGAGTTTATAAACAGCTTTGGTTTTAGTCAAATGAAATACTGTGCAGCAATACTTTAACTCTCTTTTTTCAGATTATCAGTTATTTCAAGCAAGTGTTAAAATCTCCATCGCTGGCAAAATGAATTATGTTTTGTTTGCCAAATTTGCACCAACATGCCCATCAAACTGGGCTGGAAAAGACTCTTTAACAGTGCAGCATAGGTGCTGCTGCTTGTGACTGTAAATGCACCTGAATCTAAATTTTGCAGCTATGGGGAACTCCTGCTCTGCAAGAGGTTTTTATTTGCAGACAGAGTTTCAAAATAGTTTGCCACATTACAGTATCCTTTCTTCTAAGTTCTGTTAATTAGTATGCTTGCTTCTCCCAGACATTACTTCTATTTGATAAATGTGGATCATCCTTCTTTTTTTTGTCTACTGTCATTTATATGGCTTTCAAAATACTCTGTAAATTACAGCTACATAATAAAGGCTGGAATACAATAAGCAGAGTTCATCCTGTTTGGGGGAAGTAAGGTGCTTAATTTATCCCCTCATCTTGCTTTAGGCCTCATTCTGTGATGAGAACAAGTTTCCTCCATCATTTGTCAATATGCAATGAGACACTGGCACAAAGTCCTGATACATTAATAGTTTCACAAAGTATTTGGGAGAGCTACAATGACCAATCACAAACATTTTCCTCTTTGTAAGCAATACAGGTTGGTTCATTTATAGGATGTGGGAAGAGTATTCTAGAAAGACAGATCTGCCTATAAACGAGGAAGAGCAAGTTTGAATAAGATCACTTACACAGACTGGTGTTAGTGCTTGCTGTAGGAATATACTTACTTTCAGTAGTCTGTAATGGGGAAAAAAAGGCGACATTAGGACATCTTATATAGAGAGAGACCTCAAAATCTTCATTTCTGTCTAACCTAAAGAAATGGACAAGATAATGCATCACATAAATTTTACTGATGAGTGTCAAGACTTTGATACAGCCCAAACCCATAGAAAGCACTGTAAACAATATCAATCTTCCTAAAGGCAACACTGAGACAAAAATAGTATTACCATATCCAAGGATGGAGACAGAATATGTGCTAAATAACATAGAAAAGCCATCCCAACACAATTTTAGTGGGGAATCAAAACTTTCTTAACCACCTTTTTTTTTTTTTCCTCAGGGTCTCTAAAGGAAATAAATTCATCATTTATACACCTAAATAGTATTTGGTGAGAGTGAGTGTGCTGGCAGTCTGGAAAAAGAGGAAGACAGTTTGGGATGGCAGCTGACCTGAGAAGGAGCTGCACATGACCAGTGCCTCTCAGGGCAAAAAAAAACCCCTCAGCCATATCCAGGACAGTCTCCACTGACCATCAGTGGCAAACTGTGTATTCTTCATTCTCTTTTGTCTCATGGTTCTTAGACATTGCAATAAAAGCCCACCAGTTCAGAATACCTAGCAATGCCTCATTTTTGCTTAAAGTAATAACCAAGAAATCCAGTCAGGCAAAGACAGTGTTCCTGAAATCACAGGTGACTCTCCAAGTATCTAACCTAAGCCTACTGTCTTTCAGTTTAGAACCATTCCTCCTGATCCTGTCACTACATGCTCCTGCAAAAAGTCCCTCTCCATCTTTCCTGTAGGCCTCCATCAGGTATTGGAAGGCTGGAATAGGTCACCCCAAAGCCACCCCTTTTCCAGGCTGAACAATCCCAATTCTCTCAGCCTTTCCTTGTAGGAGAGGTGCTCTGGCCCTCTAACCATCTTGGTGGCCTCCTCTGCACTCATTCTAACAGGTCAGTGTCCTCCCTGTTCTGGGCACCCCAGAGCTGTGTGGGGTCTCACCAGAGCCGAGGGGCAGAGTCCCCCCCTCTCCTGCTGCCCACGGCACTCTGGATGCAGCCCAGGCCACGGCGGTCTCTGGGCTGCCAGTGCACATTGCTGGCTCGTGTCCAGCCTGATTCCACCAGCATCCTTGGCACTTCTCAGCAGGGCTGCTCTCTCTGTCCATCCCCCACCTGTGTGTCACCAGGGGCTGGTGCAGCGCCTCGCACTTGCTCTTGTTAAACCACGTGAGATTCCCATGGCCCATCTCTCAAGCTTGTCCAGGTCCTGCTGGATGTCAGCCTGTCCTTCAGGTGTGTCACCAGCAACACTCAGCTTGGTGTCATGTGTGAATTCCTGGAGGGTATACTCAAGCCCACTGTCTATGTCACTAGTGAAGATATTAAATAACACTGGTCCCAGTACTGACTCCTGAGGGACCCCACTTGTCACTGATGTCCATCAGGGCTCTGAGCTGTAGATTATGACCCTCTGGGTGTCACCATACTACTCTCTGGAAATTTGCTTACAAAGAATTGTTGAAGAGTCTTGGACCTAAATGTAACCTGAGGAATGTAAAGAAATACAAATATTAAAGTCAGGGAAGAAATGTTGTGTTGCCTGTGAGAAAAAAATGAGGTGGGAGTACCAGTCTACCATTAAATTTCTTCTGTAATCATATCTGAGCTTACTTGTAATCATAGCATGGGCAGACATAAAAACATTTCCCTTTTTCAAGAAAATAAAGGACACACCCCACTGTGGCAGACCCTGATGGGGGTTTTATTTCATCTAGATTACATAGTACCTCCTTGATTCATTTGTATGTGAAACTCCCACCAGTGTAGAATATGGAATGACAAAGTGATTTACTTGGGGAAGTATAAGACAAGAATTTACCAAAAGTTTTGAAATAAACAAAGCTCTTCCTTAGAAGACAGAACACAGAAGAGAGCTGTGTATTTCGAAGAGTAAAATCAGGAGCATTACAAAACTTTTCCCTTCTTTTAAGATTGCAGACAGTTTCATGTCTATAGACTGTACATAGTCTCCAGATGTTCTCAGAGACTTTGTTTTGCTTTTCCCGTCTGTGTGGGCTCCAGCCTTGATGTCTTTTGGAAAGAAGGGCAAAACTTTTTCTGTATTTTAGTAGTGCAGAACTAGTGCACAGCTTTTACACCAGCCTTTCTGAGATAAAACCTCTACTAAACCTCTACACTTGCACAGAAGAAATTATTTTCCAATGTATTAAATACAGCTCTGAGTTTGTGGCACAGATTTCGGACTAACATGCTGTTTGATTTCTCTTTACATGACTAGATCCATGAAGTGTGCATGTGTGTCCATGTGTCCCCTCTTGTACCCATTTCTATTGCATTTTGCATTTCTGTCAATATAGCCTCCAATATTTGAATCCACTGATAGAACAGATGCAGTAATTGCAAACAGCTGTAAAGTATTACTCATCTTGCTAATCAAAATGACTTTCTGCTAAATAAACCATGAAAAAAGCTTTTCTACCATCAGTGAAGTGGAGTGGAAATGATACAGGCTGTAAAGAGTCTACCATGGAAGTAAAATCAACAGATCAAGTGTTCCTACAACAATGACTCCACGTGTTAATGCACATTTCAAAAATTGTTATAGAAATTTCTCTATGTTTAGGAAAATGAATTTGTGTAACAACACAAATATTCCTCCAGGTATTTTACATGACACCACCAGATACACAGAGCCTTGAAGCTTTATGCTTTCTCAAGGTTCATAATCCAAGGGGAGATAATTGACCCATATGGTATTTCTAGATGTTCATTACATGCTATACTATCTTATTCAAAGAACCACCAAAACTCAGAGTACTATATATAGACATAAACATTACAAAGGGACTGTTTCTGAGCCTCTAGGAAGTATGGAAGAGGCTGGTTTGGGAAAAAAAAGTCACTGCTATGTAAAACTCTTGACTGAGAAGTTTAGTCTTTCATTAGTCTGTCCCCTAATGAAAAAGCTCCTTTTCTAGCTCATTGTACTTCAGTTATCCTATTTTCAAAGTCATATTCTTTAATTCTTAAAAATGCTATTAGAAAAGATATCATCTCTGGTTATATACTCTTCCTCTATTCCCTTATGCCACTTAAGCACTTATTGCTGTGGGCCACTCCAGTATAAAACACTCCAGAGGAAACAACTTAGCCCTGAGTTATTTCTCTCACTTCTTTGGGTCACAGTGAATTAGGAAGTAAGCAATCTTCTCCCACAGCTTTCTGGTACCATAAATGATTTGCTGGGAACCTCAGCTCTTCCATTATGAAATGTAACTAGAAGTTAAAAGGCATATAAATTACAGATGTGCTAATTTTGTGAAGCATGATGAACTTCCTACTACCAAGTTTATATATCTGCAGAGAAGGGAAGAAGAGGGAAGATTAAATGAGATACATATCTGATTATAACACAGGAACAAAAATAGTAAGTCTACTTTCTCTCTGAAATACTTTATGTTTTCCATGCTGGATGCAATCTCCTCCAAAGGAACTCAGCAAGTTCTCTAGATCAGTTGCCTTTCTGCCCCAGTTTTTCCTGGTTTTCCTTCCTTGCATCTTTTTTCTTTGCCTTCAGTTTTTTTCTATGCTCACAGTTATCTATGGACATTCAGTGCCATGGCTGCAGCAGCATGGCCCAGTCACATCCAAGAAACCCCAGGAGAAGCTCTGCACAGCTACAAACCACAGCATCTCTGCCACAGACAAAAGTGACCACAACAAGAGAGCCCGAGGCCACTGTCTAGGCTAACATAATCTACAGGGTGACAATAATCCTTACTATTAAAAGGGTCATTGTAAGACCATGATATAATTAAGTGATTTCTCCCATGATAAAGTGATTTCTCCTCTCTTCTTGAGGATGAGAGAAAGCATCAGAAGAACTGCTTAGAAAGTCTTGACCAAATCACTCTGACATATTAATTTATCCTTCTTTGCTCACTTTCCACACAGCTGTTTGATTTTTGAGCAAGGAATGAAAATGGAGAAACAGGCACTGTTTTATGAAAAGCAGCATCCTTCTGATAAAGCACATAGTGTACAGTGGACATTAAGGTGTGTCAGAAGCAGTGAACCCAGGCCCAGACACCTCCACGTTTTCAGCTCCTTTCCAACCATTGGCAGAAGCATGCACAGTCTTCACTTACCCATCAACATTTCCAGCCTACTTGAGGTCGCACCAGTTGCAGTTTTCTCAGCTAATGACTGCATCTTCCCACAGCTACTCATAGTATCAGTATGCCTGCTTTACAAGTAAACACAAGGCTACAGAGACCTTTCTGGGTGAGTGAACTGAATTGTGGTCATCATACAATCCCTCTCAAACAACTGAAGATGCACCTTAAATACGTTAACTGTGCTTGTCCTTGATACCCCAGATGGAGGCTGTCCCAGAGACATTAATGTCCAGGTGCATCCTTCCCATTCCAAGCCTACCCATTCTTTCTTTAGTCTAAGACAACAAGACTTAGAATTGTATGGCTTATTTTTGCAGGCAGCAATGCAGCAGAGCTGAGCCAGAATCTGTCTCTCAAGATGCAGCAGGTTTCAGAGCTTTTTATCATCTGCCCTCACATAGGTTTTCAAAAAAGACATGCACAACTCTCAGATGTCAGCACATAGTTTCTACGACAATGTGCAGCAGTGTGGGGTAGACAATTTCTTTTACCAATTTCTCTCCATCTACGACTCTCAAAATAGGCACGATGGTCCTTTTCTTTTCTCTGCCCATTAAATTATATATCTTTCACTCTACAGTCAATAAACTGACTCACATTATTCTGAAAAAAAAAATGGAAATTCCAGTTCTCACTCCTTACAGTTCCTTTCATGATTATATGCCCATCATAGGCTAAATCCAGCAATTTCCTTCCTCAGAGTTTGAGTTCTTCTACCAGAAGTTTTCAAGATGTAATGTACACCTTGAAGTGTGAGAACTGAATGACTAAACTCCAACCATGGAGAACTGTGAGATGGTATTTCTAAGACAGGCTAAAAAAGCAGGAGTGGAGCTTGTTCCTGGGACAGAAATGGGGAACAGCAAAAGGAAAGGAATTTCTGGGGAAATATTTCCTTTGGGAAAAAAAAAACCCTGAAAGCTATAACACATTGCAAAGTACTTTTGTCTCCTCTTATTGACTTACTCCTTGTCTCCATCGTATTGATAGCCCAAAACAAATGGTAAGAAATATAGAGACAGTCAGCCCGAGACTGTGATGGTCTTCATTTAGGAGGAGCTCCCCTGCTGTGGGAAAAACCTGAGAACTTCCCTGAACTGAAGAAGCAGAAAACTCTACATATTGCCAGTGTGGCACCCATGAAAAAAAGATTCCACAGTATGCCCTTGACAGTCCATTAGCAATATTTGGACTCATTACCAGTGAGACGTATTTCACGTGAAAGAGCCACTTGGGCAGAAGGGGCACTTGAGGTAATTAAGAATCTATTTACATTTTATAGAGCCATTGATGCCCTTATGTCCAAGGAACCCATATTAAAAGTGTGCTCAGGGTATTTTCCTATCAATAAATATTAAAATGGTTAATCTGCACTTGGTCTGCTAGCTGCCTGCCATGGCTGCAAGCTGTTAGCAAGCAGTAAAAAGGAGACAAAAGAATGTGTCAGATCAGAAACCAATCTTACAATCTATTTCTCTTTTCTGGGTAAGTTTCCATTTATTATGTGGTACACTCTCTTACTTTCATGAATGTAATATAGAATATAAAAAACTGAAAACATCTCAAAACTGTAAGAAATAAAATGAGCTCTTGATTTAAATACACTCAGCTAAAAAAAATTAGCTTGGAGTGATCTTTTATTCATTCAGTTCTCAAACACTTCCCTATCCTTCTGAAATAATCTTTAAGTGCAGAACAGATCCAATCTTATGTGTCCATTTAAGTTCTGCTGGTGCCTTTTCTAATTCTGGGTTGTCTCAGAGTGCTCTTGCTAGACACAAGCCCAGGAACAATAAACAGCAATCTAAACTCATCACAAAATCACCTTAAGAAATGCAGAAAGTAACAGGAATTAATCAGCTGAACAGGCAGTCTTCCATTGCAACCCTTGTTATTTAGACAAGTGCAGCTAATATACATAATGTAGCCATAAATAATTAAGTAAAATAAATTACAGCCCAACAAAGTCCACATTAAACAAGACAGGCCTCTCTGAAAGTCATGCGGGACTTACTATGTGAAGATCAGAGTGAAAAATGAAAGAGCATGGCTCACATGATCTGTCTGTTGCTCTAATTTTTAAAGATGATACCTAATCATTGTAGAAACTCTTGCTTAAGAGACCTTGACCATACCAGAGCTGATCTCAGTCATAAAAGGGCATGAAAATGAAAAATTATAAAGAAATGAACATGTACATTTTGCATCATGCGCTTATTGTCATGACTCACAAACCCAACAGAAAGAAGAAACTCCACCTAGAGCTGTAAATTCTGGTCAGCTCAATTATTTCTCATGTTGAAGCCTGACTTAAGTTATTCAGAGCAGAGAAAGGTAGATCCCTGATGCACCCTTCCACAGTGCTGGACAAGGTGAAAATAATAAATTGGTCATTGGGAAACAGTGGATAAGAAACAGCATATTTCATATTCTCCTCTCATAGCTGCCTCTTGATGGCAGTAAATGGTTTTGCCATAGCTGTCATAGCTCAGCAGAGAAGTCTTGCAGGCAAAGGAGAGTCTATTTCCACTCCCTGTAACATCACCTTCTTTCCATGGCAGCTGATGTCCCACACCCTCCTGGCTCACAAGCTGCAACAAACAGCTCTATAATTTGTCAGTTTTTAAAGACTACTGGGAGCCTTTTGCTGAAAACCATCAGGCCACATTGACCTAGACCTATGGGAAGTCAATAGTTAGGAAATCACTCTGTTTTCCCCAGATAATTACACTGGGTCCCAGGAGTGGAGATGTGGCATTTCCAGTACATCAGAGTGCCTTTCAGGAGAATTGCATCAGGTTTTGATGTTGCTGAGTGTTTGCTTCTCTCCTAAGCACTTGATAATCTTCAAAAAAAAAAAAAAAAAAATACCTTTTGATGCTCCCATTTCTATTAAAAGAACTCAGCAACATCTCCATTTCCCTATCCAGAATAGGCTTTGTGGCCAATGGAGTGGAGGAGTCAATGTTAGAAGACTTCTCTTTTTCCACAGAAAGATCTGATTCTCACTTCCTATAGGTTTGGGCTTTTTAATTTTGATTAGTCTGTTGCAAAGAGTCTGTGGCTTGATCCCCAGAAGTGCAGCTCTTACTAATGTCCAGGCAATCGTGAGCCTTGATATCTCAGTCTTGAAAAGGACCTGATGCAGAGAGAAAAGAAATAATGATTATGCAACTGCCTTCTAAATGTAGAAGCTATTGCCCAAAAGCAGAGTTATGGTGCCTGCCTGGACTGCTGCCCAGCTTATTTCCTGGCTGGTTGGACAGAACAACAGAATTTGCACAATGAGCATGGTGTTTTGGGAAGATTTTCAGTCCAAGTAAGTGATCTTGCACAAATAACAAATGTCTGATGATAATTCAAGACTGCACTGAGCCCCGTAGCTGCAGCCAATGGTGAGAGGCAATACACAGCTAACTCACCCCCAGCAAGAGGGTGAAATAACATTTCTGAACACACATTCAGTTATCCCATTCTAGACAGATGCTGAGATAAATTTGTTTATGTATCTGTAAGTTTTGCTGATTAGCAAGGTTGCATGGATGCACAGGAACCTGCCTTTCTCTAGTCAAAATCCTGGCACCTTCCACAGCTCCTGAAGTGCTGCCCACTCTGTGGCAATGGGGAGTAGGAAGGATTCCATATTACACACATACACCATGTGCATCATGAGCCCTGCACTTGGGATTGAATGAGGAGTTTCCCCAAAGTTTAACTGAAGGACCCCTTCAGGACTCTGCACCCACTGCTTGCACAAAGCACGGTAAGATCAATACCCTGTCCAGAGCTTTACAGGTCATGACAGTGGATATTGCAAATTACTAACAAAAGAACAGTTATTCTGAAGGCTGGAGACTGTTTGTCAAGGGGTAGTAATGAATGGGAACTGAAGGTATCAAATAAAATGAATCAGACTGGGAGAGGACTAGTGGGTGCGGGAGACATTTTTAGTAGGGGTATCTGGATACAGGAATAACTCTTGCTATGGATTCTGAAACAGATTATTCTAGCTAATAATTCGTATAATGGCATGAGTGAAGATTCTTACAGAATGCATTTTTCTAAGTACAGTAAAACTGCCAGGCTATCTGCCAGAATTTATTTCTGATTTGTTTTGAGGCTCAAGGAAACCTACCAACCAGATTCAAGACATAGCTCTATCAAAAGAGATTTACATTACTCATAAACATTTCAATTATACACATCAGGCAGAACTGTAAGACCTTATGAGAGGTCTATAAATTGTAAGATATGCATAGATAAATCAGATAATATGTGGCAAACAAGGCATACAGCAGCAACATTAGCTTGCATATCAGAATCTTATAAAGCAGATGCAATTAAGAGACAAGACAAAGAAATAAATATCTTCTGAACCTTTCAAAAGGCCAACCACATTATTTTAACATTGTTTAACAGTAACACTTAATAAAGGGAACATCATGATTGTGTGAACTAAATTTTCAGTCATAATGAATGCTACAAACTTAACCTCCCAAGTTTAAATAGGGTACAATGCCTTGGGAGAGATGCAAGAGAAATTATTTGATAAAGGTGACGGTTTTTCACACCTGAAAATAATGTTTTTCTACCAGGCTCTCTTGATCAACAGTGTGTAGCCACACATTAAAGATAAAATCTCAAGACTTACAGTGTATACTTGTCACTACTTGCATAACTTAGTAGGGAGAGAGGATCACAGAGATTTTGAACATAATTTCCTACACTACAGGAGATTAAATAGACTACATTTGAAAAAGGCAAGAAGCAACTCCAGCACCTGGATAGCAGAAAGTAAACTTCAACCAGTTTCTCCATCATTTATTCAAGATATATAGTCTTGTCTCCTATAAAATTTAGGCATAAGCATCCTGTGCAGCAGGGATGTGTATTTGATTTAAACAATTAATTGCACAGGAGTGGATTTCTGTTGCGGCTTTCCTGGCACAAACTAAAATCATTACATAAATCAGCTGGAGAGTGGCAATTTTACCTATATAAAGATTGATCGAACATTCACAGCTAGAGTTTGTTCTGTTCCCCATACTCATCAATATAGAAGCAGCTGGCATCTGAAAGCTTTTCTGGGGTAAAGGCAATACTAAAGAGCATGCTGGAAGAAAACAATCACCACATCAGAGATATTCCCCAGATCATTGTTCTGTGCTACAGCTCCTTCTTCATCTATAATGCTTTCTCTGATTGCTATTAATTTCCTTATTTAATGAATATTGTAATGAATGCAATGCACTTAAAGATGCATTGAGGGTTTTTTTATTTTTTAAATGTATATTTACCACTATATATCCTGAGAGGGAATATTAGCAGCTCCATTAAGTGATGATCTCGTTACCATGATAAATGTGTATTCAGTGATACATTTAATGCGAAACCCAGTGTACATAACTCACCAACAAAACTAAATCATGTATCATCTATTTGAAAACTGTCACCTTCTTCTAACAGATACGAAGTATTTTCCCAGTGTCTCATGCTTATTACACTCTGCTCGTCAGAGGAACTATGACATGCCACCATTTCCTATAACAAAAGAAAAATATACAGTCATATCCAAAATTTACCCAAAGAGGGAATATATTTGTCTGCTTCTGTGGTCATTAATGAAGACACTCAGACTGAACAAAGCCAAATTATTTGTCAGCTTTTAATAATTTAACCAGTTAATTTTCTTATTATATACATATATTCTCATATTAAAGCCCTGAATCCTATGCTGGTAAGTACAGGGTCAAAGGCACTGGTCCTACTGTAAGTGGCATGTAAAGACTTGTTTTGAACAGTTGGTGGTAGTTAGAGATTGTCTGGTTTCTATTCTGAAAAAAGCTCTCTATAATACTGAAGGAATGGATAAGAAGTTTTACCCAGACCGAGAAATTTTCTGTTTGGATTATGCAGAACAGTTATTTCTCATACTACTCTAGTATTTTCTTTTGTTTTAAGCTGGTTTTGGTTTTTTAAGTTAAGTTTGAAAGCCTGAACTGAAATTGAAAAATTTGTTTTAAAAAAGCTTTCCAATACTGGAATTTTTAGTTCCAAGAATACTGAAACAAAAAAATATTTTATTATTACCCTTATCCAAATTGAATATTCATTTGCATTTTTCCCCCATATAAGATTTTGGTTTGGCTGCTATTTTCCAAAGAAATGGTAAGGGAGGAAAACTACCCTGATTTAGCATGTCATTAGACCCTTTTGCAAAGAGTTTGGCTTCCTTAAAGGAACTGAAACTGGGTAACTGAGGATTCTCCTGCCTATTTCCCAGATAAAGCATAGCTGATATATTTATTTTAAGATCTCCATCCCCCTCATAAGGTTATTTAAGCCCCCTGACAAGATTGCTTACAGAAGGTCCAGAAAGAATGAACTCCCAGAGCAGCTCTCCCAGAGTACAGCTTGATACAGATGCTTTTCTTTCCTTGCTGAGCACCTGCTCATGAACACCACACTGCTCCCACAGCCACACTGCAGCTTGAAGCACGAGGAATTCTGGGGAGTAACAAACTGTGGAGTTGCATTGCATTACTTATACCTGCCATGCCATCCCATCCTTTGGCTCCCTTGCACTGCAGGAGACAGTGCTGAGCACTCACTCCCTCTCTGGTCTAGCAGCAGTGTGGAAGAGGGGCTCAAAATGGATCTCTACAAGTAATGGATTCAGCTTCTTCTGTCCACTGAATTGCTGGAGACATACTGTCCTGTGCATGGAGGGTCTGGGGATCTCTGGAGAGATGTGTGTGAGGGAGGTAATTGGGCTGGTTGGTGCTTCTGTTCCCAGACAGCAGCTAAAAGGCAGATGATTTCTTTCCCAACAGCTACCATTAGGAAGAAGCTCCTTGGCATACATAAAGGGAGACCCCTGACTCTTAGGTTTACTCCTAGTGAACTTAAAAAGGGAGAAAATAATGAGAGATTACAGCATTGTGCTTTTAAATTCAGTCTTCAGTACTTCCTCTCCCAGTGCCTCTCCCAGTGTCAAATCCACTCAGTCCTGCCCAATAAATGTGTTAATAGCGCCTGTCCAAGACAGTCAGTGCTAGATATATTCCCAATTTAGTCCAAGGTTTAGATTACTAAGACATTTAATTTCCTTCTATAAATGATAGTTAGTTCTTTTGGTCATTTTTAGTTCTTCAAGTGAAAGAAATAATGAGCCTAGGAGTAGGTTCTATGTCTAGTCCTGGAGGCTTGACTCCAGCAGAGCTCCTGCTGTCCTCAATGACTGGAGGCTTGCTGTGCATGTTAGACCTTCAGAATCTAGATCAGTACACTCAAAAATGTGCACAACTGGTACAGTGTGGCAATTGATCACAAGAGCTGGATGAGAGGTATTTTCATCATTAAGGAACTGCCCTATTTTAATGCTTGTTGTAAGTGCTATTTTTACATCTCTGCATCTGGATAAGACATGTCTGAAAAATATTATTTTCAGTCACTGAGGAAATACGTCCTTAAAATTCCTTATGTTGGTGATGTGCACCCTCCAGGCACCTTTGAAAATGTTGGGGAGAAATTTGCCTCTATTGAAGTCAGTGAGAATTTTACTACTAAGCTCAGGAGCACTGCATCTTGCAGCTGTCTACTGACTTCAGTCATTCTGAGTTCTCTGGTTGGCTGAGTTATTTAAAAGGTGTGGGAGGAAAAAGACTGTCTATAACCAATTTGTCCACCAACAAGGTCACTACTGACTTATTCTCCATTTAAGCCATGCAAAGGTGTCACAACTCCATAAAAGGCTGGTGTTCATACATTATTTCTAACAGCCTTCATATTATATATTCTAAAGTATATTATATACAACAAAATTTTTAATTTGACTTTTCTATGTTATTTTAATTATTTAATTTCATTTAGGGGCAATGAGAACTAAAACAACAGATCTTTTTTATAGG